TCTTTAGAAGTGAGTAAGGGTTACGAGAGTTGGGCTGCACACCCTTACCCACTTAATGTGAAAGTAGCCCCCCCCCGGAAGCCAGAGACCCACACTGCTAGATGCCAGGGTTCTATGCCGTATGTGACTGTATACTTCAAATGCCAGGGAATATGCTTTATATTACAAAGTAACACATGGGTGATTTGAGCTGGCGACCAGACACCAAATCATCTAGCTGCACGCCAGCTGTGGCTTCAACTCGGTCACTGTACCAACAATTAACCACTGACGAAGGATAGTTGCTACTTCTAAAACTAAACTAAGAACCTACAAACTTTTAAAACCAAAATAGAACAAGAAAACTACTTAACAATTATGAAAAACAGTAAACGTCGCAAATCTTTAACAAAATTGAGACTTGGCAACCACTGTCTGAAAATTGAAACAGGCCGGCATACATGATTGGATTTTAAAGACAGAGTCTGCAATATGTGCGACAATGACCATGATGAAGATGAACATTTTGTCATAAATTGTCCTCATTACAACGAAATAACTTAAAGATTAAAACTTTACATTGTAGCTAATACATGTATATAAAATTTTGACAAATTTAGTAATGAAAATAAATTCATATCATTACTAAGTGACGAGAAAATGTCAATTTCTTTAGCACAATATTTAAATATATTATTATATATTTTATTATAAGACAGCAGCACCTACATAAACTAAGCCAGTAACACATTCCTTGTATACAAATTTTTATCTTTTTTTAATGCTTTTTTGTTTCTTTAATTTTTGTGTAGTTATTTTTCTTTTACTAATATCTGATTTGTAACCCTTTTCAGCCCCTCCGCCGGATGTTGTGTGTTAATAAATAAATGAAAACTTTTGTGTTTTTATGGACTGACTTTAAAACGTTCATCTGGGTCATATATCGCCACCTAGTGTCTATTCTCCCCGATTGTTGTAAACAGCAAAAAAGCGATGTTGTCACCCGTACGTCTATCACCACATGGGTAAAATCCGTTTTTGTTTCGTAAACGTGAATCGTCTTCGAAGAAAAAAATAATGTTTTACCTCCAAGTTGCAATGGTCAGTGCCATACAACGTAGATAATTCTAATACATTACGTGTATCAAATACAATGATTGGAATCGGAGTAAAACAGTCGAATCAGCGGAAATATTTTTTTCAACTAAGGTTGTGAGCAGAATTTATGGCAGGGAGGAGAAATTATTTTATTTTACCTTTTTTTTGCAGCCACCCCCTCCCCAACTTGCTGCATAAAAATATTGGCAGCCCCCAACCAACCACCTATTATTTTCATGACCCCCCCTCAATACCCAGTTTTTCATGTTTACATTCCATTCTGTGATCATGAATTTACAATGATATGTAGACCCAATTATATGACAACCACAATCCCAAACCGTGGGCCAACAGCGAAATTTGTTATATTGAGAAGAGATAGATACCCTTGAGTGATGGTTGGAAACAGTGTCAAGTCGAGAAAATGACATAACCCACACTCCTCAACAACTGACGTCTCGCTTCCATAACACTCATGTTGCATCAACAGAACGAGTACGCAAAGTGTAGAAAGAAAGAAAATATAAGGAGGAATACCAGAAGAAAGAAAAAAGAACCATCAAACAGGCAAAGATGTTAGTGGTTGATGCATACAGCTCTGATATGGAAAAAAAGTTGTTAAATCCAAATATGGACATAAACCAGATACTGTTATTAGTACTAATAATATTGCCAAACAGAAGCTGTTGCCCAGGAAACACCGCAATGGTCTAATATACTTGCGAAACATGAGGACCCTGATAACCTGATTGCAATTTTACAAGCCCGTCAGAAAAGAGAAACATGCATTAATTTCGGATTCTGAGACTGACGAGTCTGAATGATATTGGTACAAACATATCGTCTCCTGCAATACCATGAGAGTTTAATAGAGTGGGTGTTGCATTAGGGGAAATTATGTGGCATGATTAAAGTATGTTGTACTTTGGGGACAAGAATAACAATATTATATAGCAAAGTATATTGAATACAATAAGTGGTACCAGGAAGACATGCACACAGTTTGTTAAGTCATTATTATTATTATTATTATTATTATTATTATTATTATTATTATTTACAAACAAAGGTTTCATATACTAGTACATATATAAAATACTAGTTTTTTCTACCATCAAAATTTAAGTTTTATTTATTATACTAGTACATTTACAAAGTATGTTTTGTTTTGTTTTTAAGTAAAAAAGTGAATCAAATATGACAAATATTTTTATACGATATCATGTTTGACAGCTGTCATAAAATTTCAAAGCCCCCTCCCCAAGCCACCCATAATTGTTTCATCCCCCCCGCCATAAATTCTGCTCACACCCTAAGCGTAACGAAAGGCAACATACATTCCATAGGTCTACTATTTTCATTTCCCGTTAAGCAGCCAAGGTATCTGGCGTCATCGCTGATGTAAAGGCTTTTGTTTGTAATCTAGAACAAACGTCTATCACAACATAGTTTGTGCCCTGGTTTACCTTTTTACCTCCATGGTTTAACTAATTGCGTAGCCCCTCCCCCTGCCAAAGTTAGAATAACACGCTGTTACCTGTGCTCCCTTCTCTAGTAACTTTACTGTGATAGCGCGTCCAATTCCGTCCGCTCCACCTGTCACCATGGCAATCTTGTTGGCAATTTCCATTGGAGCTGTTTTATCAACTGGTCAGTCGACACTTAATTGACTCTTGTCTTTTTAGGTCAGGTCAGGTAGTCAGATCCGGGGGGCATACCATTACAGTATAATTTGCATATTGGTGTCATCGCTACCACACAGAGTCTGTGCCACTCGCACAGGAAAGATAGACGCAACTTTTTGTTTATGCCTCCATGATTGAACGTAATCCGGGAATCAGACAAGTGTTATGATAGCGACTTCACGTTCACACATTCCGTTCACACGCCGTTGCACTATTGTTTATAATCAAAACTTGCGTGTATAGTGAGGATACATAATGCTACCCCTATAAC